AAAATCAGATAATTAAGCCGAATATAATAGTTGAGCGACCGTGCTAGAACTATGGAACTCGGGAATGCATAACACCTTCTCCCGGGTTAACAGAATTTCTTATCCAGATTTCTGGTGCGCAGACTGTTAAACAGAGTCATTCTTTTCCTCAATTCGGGATTCAACCGGTGACTTGGGACACCACAAATCTCCCAAGTGGCGACTCTGAATTTTTAAATAAAATCTCGTTTCGATTGTCCTTTAATTGGAAAAACTCCCTTCCGCGCCCCTTTCCGGGGCGGGGCGGGCAAAAAAAGAGGTGTGACAACCTTGACAAAACAACATGACATAATAAGCACGTGATAACTACACCGGTGACCACAACAATTTGGACACCTAGCATAAATGCACGGGGTCATAGAGGAATTCACAATTTAGGGATAACAAAATAATAAGGAGAACAATCACTTCAATTAAGACAAATAGGGGCCACGTAACAAGTAAGAGTTAGGGGAAAAGCTAACAATAATATTGGGGTAAATCAAACAATTAGGAATCCCAAGCATATCTTATAAACTTCTCCCTTAATGAACATAAGGACCTAAGAACCCTAAAGGCAAATTTCCTACAAATAAGTCCGAGCACACACTCGTCACCTTGCGTGCATGGATTAAAAATAGCATAGAAGACTCAACTCCTAAGGGGAAGTCCCCCACATAAGGTTAGGCAAGATACTTACCTCAATCTGGCCAATTCAATACATAATTTAGCCTTTCCTTTACCAATTCATCAACGCTCGGCTCAATCTAGCCAAAAACGACTTGAATACATCAAACAATGCAAGAGAAGACAATTCCAATTAACAAAATAATGATTCTTATACAATTTACAAACAGTCAACAAAAGTCAACTCCCCGGGCCCGCACCTCGAAACCCAACAAAATTTACAAAAACCGAACACCCATTCCGCTATGAGTTCACTCATACAAAAATTATCTAATTCCGATACCATTTGGTCATTCAAATCATCATTTTACATTTTTGAAAAACTTTACAAATTTTCCCCAAATTCCATCCCAAATCACTAATCAAATGATGAATTCAATGATAGATTCATGTATTTTAGCCAAATCCGAGTTAGAATTACTTGCCTCGATAAATTTCTTGAAAAACCTTCAAAAAATCGCCAAGATCCGAGCTCTCTAGGTCAAAATATGAAATAAAACCCTAAATTCTGTATTTATAGTGCACCTCCTAGATTTCCATTACCGCTGACAGTGGAAAATCACCGCTGCAATGCTCACCCCTCCGCAGTCGCGAAAAAGTAGCGCGGTCCGCGCTTTTGGTGGCTGCACAAATAGACCTTAGTATTTTAGCCATAACTTTCTATACAAAAGTCCAAATGATGATATCTTTATCTTTCTGGAAACTAGATATGAACAGCTACAACTTTTGTTTTTGGATCATCTCAAAAGTCCTTGTAGATCAAAAGATATAGGCTTTCGAAGTCAGACTAACGAACCTGCGGATTCTTCATGACCGCGGCCGCGGTCCGTTTTCCGCTGACAGCGGAAATTCCACTGCTGCAGCAAAATATCACTGCTGACAGCGGTACTTTTGGCCGCTGGGGCAATGATTTACCGCTGTCCGCAGCCCCCAACGATCCGGAACAACATACGAGTGTCGAAAAGCCTGAACTCGCTCAAAACTCACCCCGAACTCATCCGAGGCCCCCAGAACCTCAACCAAATGTACCAACACATCCCATAACATCATACAAACTTAGAACCACTCTCAAATCACGTCAAACAATGCTAAAACCACGAACCACTCTCCAATCCAAACCTAAAGAACTTGAAATTTCAAGAATCCTACAACCGATGCCGAAACCAACCAAACCAAGTCCGATTGACCCCAAATTTTGCACACAAGTTACAAATGACATTACGAACCTACTCCAATTTATGGAATTATATTCGGACTCCGATATCATAAAAGTCAACTCTCGGTCAACCCTCTCCATTTTTTGAAACTTCAACTTTTCCAACTTTCACTGAAATGCCTTAAATTACCCTACGGCCTCCAAATCCAAATCCGAACGCACGCCCAAGTCCAAAATCACCATACAAAGCAACTGACATCATCCAAAACTCATTTCGGAGCCGTTTACTCAAAAGTCAAATTCCAATCAAATTCTCTCCGCTTAAGCTGCCAAAACTATATTCCTTCTTCCAATTCGACTCTGATTCATCCGGAAACTGAATTCAACCATGCACACAAGTTGATATACATAATATGAAGCTGCTCTTGACCTCAAACTGTCGAACCAGATGCAATTGTTCAAATGACCAGTCGGGTCGTTACAGTTCTGAACCGTCGTTTTCATCCTATAAATGCACTTTCCTTCTCTCGCCCAAACTTTACTTTTGATCTCTTTTCTTTCTAATCTCCATTTTCCTTCGCCACCTATAGAATCCCTTGCCTTTAAGCTTTTGAATTTCCTTGTTTGTTTCCTATAAAACACCAAATATCCCAATCTCTATTCTCTTTTGTTCATAACAACAAAATGGCCAAAACATATAAAATCATTCCACAGAAAGAAAAGGCTTCCTCGTCTCAGCCAGCTGGCGAGCAACCAGCGATGGAGCCACGCCCTAAAGAATTCTTTCCTCTTCCAGGCATCCTTGACTCCAACTTCAAGGTTGAATAGACCCCCTCGGTTCTGGGTAGATGCGAGCCAATGTCGAGGTACATATGCACTATCACTGTTGGCCTTCTAAACCAGGTTAAAAAGGATTGCAACTAGGTAAACAAGCACGTCATGGTGACCTCACCTAAGGAGTCAATCACTACATATGTGGAGGGATTTATAAGTGTTTACACCTACCCTTTCACATTGGGCCCCCTAGACCCGGTTATCGTGGACTTCTGCAAGACATACGAGGTCACCCTCGGCCAAATACACTCCTCCTTCTGGAGGATACTGATACTGCTCCGCTTTTTGTGAGCCAAGTCGATGGGCTTCCTTTCACCCTTGACCATCTCATACGCTTATATAGCCCCTGACTTTATCGAAGTAGGGCTAATAAAGCTTTAACGTCGGGCTTCAAATGCGGCTTTATCGAGCATAGATGAGGATAAGGACCAGGGATGGATGGGCCAATTTGTCCGAGTGAAGACCTTGGACCTGATCCTAGCTGAAAGTATGCCATTTTTGGAGAAATGTAATATGAGACATAAGTGTAACTCCCTTTTTAACTTATGTTTATCACCTTCATCATTTCATCCATTTTTATTAGCGGTATATTTTGATGCAGTTGTTGCTTGGATGCCGGGTGCGATTCCTAGATCGAGAACTGGGTCAGAAACTTAGTGCCGAAATCTACACACGCTGAGCGCGCATGGCATGAATTGGCAAAAGATCGATGGGAGGCTCGAAACCATGGTAAGTTTTCATATAACCTGATAGCTTCGACCACTGTTCGGGTATTTTTTCGAGCTTATTTATTTTTCTTCTTTTGTAGGTCTTGGGAAGGAGGTGATGATGAGGCCTCCATCTAGTAAAGTAGAAAACTCACTCTCTTCCCCGAAGCCGGCAAAGGAAAGAAAGAGGTAAAGGGCTTCAACCTCCAATGTGCTAGAGCCTAAGAATAAAGCGGCACGAAAGTCCAAGAAGGATGTGATTCCCCTGTCCATAAAGTCAGTTCAACTCCTAAGAGATGAAGAAGAAGAAGAATAAAAGGAGGAGGATTCCAGTCTGGTGGCTTGAGCACGAGCTAATACCGAGAGTCAAAAGGCCACCAGATCAGTCAAAATTGGAAATATTCTGCCTCGATCTGAGGGGGCCTAAGAGAGGGATTCAGTTGGAGTCCCTAAGCCGACTGGAGCTGAAGGTACCTCACCTAATGGTGAGAAGGCATCGGAAATGGTTGTGGAGGCCAGTCCCGAGGCTCCTCAAAATAAGAAGAACATCCCAAGAGATCCACCTGGGGCAATAGAAATCGGAGACTCCCCGTCGCTTCCTTCATTCTCCAAAGAGGAAGTTTGGGAGGCTCGGGCCATGAAGACTCTTCATGTAGAAGGTGCCCTCGGAGTGGAGTACATTTTTTGTGGTTGTTTCGCTGGGGTCGATGATGCCGCTGGCTTGAGTGACTTGGAGGTACTGAGGAAGAGCTTGGGCGAATCTACCTCGAGTTTCAAACTGACCAGCTAGTTTTCGGCCCCTAGTGTCAATCCCGAGTGTGAGCATGTGATTTTTTCCCTATATGATATACTCTTATAAAATCCTAAGAAAATAGTTTTCTGTTAATTATTTGCCATTTTAGGAATTTTTATAGAATTTTCTTAATTATTTGCATTTTTGTGCATGTTTAATTTTTATTTAAATCATGGAAAAATACCAAAATATCATTCATTGAATTTAGGATTTGTTTTTACATTTTTAGAATTAATCAGTAATTATTTGCTTTATAAAAATTTGAAAATCACAAAAAATAGCTCATTTTACATTTCGGTCTTTTAATTTTTAGTTTATTGATTTTTCTCTTTTAATTTAAATCATGGAAAAATACCAAAATATCATGCATTGCATTTAGGATTTATTTTTACATTTTAAGAATTAATCAGCAATTATTTGCTTTATAAAAATTTGAAAATCACAAAAAATAGCTCATTTTACATTTCGGTCTTTTAATTTTTAGTTTATTGATTTTTCTCTTTTAATTTAGAATTAAGTGATGTTTATAATTTTTTATAATTAGTTAACTAGTTTAATTTCAAATTTTAGATAATGTAGGATTTTTAACTATTGGGATTTTTAATTAAAAAAAGAGATATTAAAGATATAATAAAAGAAAGAAGGAAAAATGATTTTTAAAGTGGGTCTAGCACACTTGGGCTGCACCTTTAAAACCCTCAGCCCAAACACTTCTCTCTATAGCCCCAACCCAAAAACCGGACTAAACCCGCCTATTTTTGACCCGCCCGTCTCCCTCCATACATAAACCTTGTTATATCATTTCCCACACCCAAACCCTAGATCTAAATAACATTGAAACAACGTTGTTCATCATCTTCCTCACTGAGCTCGGTCCTCAACTCGCCTGGAACTCAGGCGAGTTCACTCAAATGGGACCCCTCCCCTCCACGTCATTTTATTCCCAACGGTTTTTGTCAAAGTGGAACGAATATTCTCTCCGAATTTTGCACGATTTCTGTATGATAGAACGATTTGCTAGATGAATGGGAGCCGTGGATGGATGTAAATCGATCCATGTCTTCCATTTGTCCCAAAAATCATTAAAAACGTGAAGATTTTCGGATATTTAGGCAGAAACTTCGAGATTTTTTGAGGGTTATATATATGAGGTAAGTATTCTTTTTCAAGGTTAAGGAAAAATCAGAAAAATCTAGGGAAAATTTTCAGAAACTTAGTGATGGAATTTCTAGGGTTTTGAAGTTTCTCCCTTCTCTTCACCCCTTTTTCTTTTTCGGTCAGGCATTTTTTAGAAAACAAAAAATATACAAAAACATAGTTTGAATTTTGGTTTTATACAAAAAATTTTGTTTCATTTCGAAAGGGATTAAAGTTTTATAAATCTCAGCATTTTTCTTGGATCTTTGGTTTTTTCAAGAATGGTTTGTGATTGAGTTTGTGGCTGGGATTTGGAATTTGGGTGTTGTGGATTACTGTTCGAGTTTTTTTTTTGCTACAATCTGGTCTTGGCTGAACTTTGCTGAGCTCCAGATTAGTCGTGGAAACTCTTGTTGTTCAGAAAATTATTTTCTGATTTTTCTTTGACTATTGGAGACCAGCTGCTGTTTTCTTCTTGATCTTGCTCGACCTTTATTTGGTCTGATTCTTTCTCTTATTCTGTTTTCTAGGTAAACATCTACTACCTCATGTTGTTGGTTTTATTGATGTATTAAAGATTGTGATGAGATGACATTGTTTGTTTATCCGGCAAGATTGTGTTTAAACTAGCTTGAATGGTCATTTGATTTTAACAATGGAAGAATTAAAAAATGTTCTTGGCTCTGTTGTGTTGTTTCGTGTTTCTAAAACTCATAGCTACACACACACACTCATTACATTTAGTCATTCATATGGTTTTCTAAGGTTATTGTGTTGATTTACTGAAAAGTGAGATGAAGCCTTATAATTTTAAGTCGGATTTTTAAGCTGATGAATCTAGATGGAGGGTCTAAATTGTTTTACTTCCCTCATCAAGACATAACAGAATATATGTGTGTTTGGTTTTAGGTTCGGTTAATCACTTCTTCTCCCTTTCTTATCAGCTATCTCTCCTATTAGAACCCATTCATATATAAAAAGGCTCTTGTGTAATTGTTCTGTTGCATTTCTTCATTTCTATCCCAACCTATAATGCAGTCTAATTTGGTAAAAATGTATGTTTAGAGCTGTTGGTATTTGGAGTTTCCATAAGAAGTGTACATGCTATCCTATGCCTTTGTTGTCATAGATTCTTTTGGACATTTTACATGAGACGAGCTGATCCTGAATCTAGGTGTGTTCCTTAAATAGAAAAGTATCCAGGGGTTGTTTGAATGTACGTGATGTATTAGATTTTTTTTTAGAAATTGGTTATTTTTTGATTTGGTTAGATCTTTGCCTTGGCTATTTCTTGTTTTAAAAGGTTCTATAAGTTACCTAAAGTAGGTTCAGAAGTAAGAGTATGTTTGAATTCATGTTCTAGCCCTATGTTAGTTGACAGGTTTTTGCTGAAGAAATGCATCATGTATAGTTGACAAATAGCTCCTCCTACTTTGTTTACTGTTGAACACTTTTAGTTTCTTTGTGAATTGGAATCCATGTGTAGTGTCAGGAAAATGTTGTTTCATCTAGTAAGTTTGAGATTGAAATCAATTGAAATATATTAAAAAGTGAAGTCCCAGACTATTTGTTGCTTGTTGCTCATTGATTGTGTGTGGATGTAAGGCCTGTACAATTTGTTTACGAACGACCCAGAGCAATAATTTTTTTGGGCCTCAGCAATCATCTTTCTTTTGGCCTGTGTTGGGTTTAATTGTTTGACTTGCATCTAGGCTCAATTCTGAGCCTAATGAGTGATAATGCCCATCTCATTTAAAAAAAAACGTGCATTGATACACTGGGTCTGCCGTTGGCCCGGTTCCCACCTCGATCAGTTTAGGCCTGTTTGCTTTGCTTTGCACATTAATCAAGGGCTTGAGCCCAAGTTTGGATGCAAATAACCTTATGTTTAATTAAGTATAATCCCTTTAAAATGGTTGGAGGCGTGCCATTTTTCATTAAAATTACCCATGCCCTCTTATTAGCAACACAAAATTTAGAAGTAATTAATTCTTTAAATACCCGTAGTTTGCTTTAGATGCGCAATTAAATTATTACGACTATGTGTACGGTTTCCGTGACGTGGTTGTGATAATTAGTTTTAAATTAGGTTAAAATAAGAGTACCTTTAGATTGCCTTTAAAATATATACCCCTTTTCCTAAAATAATTTGAGGTGTGCCATGTTTAAAACTCATAATATATGACCCTCACAAATTTAATTCAAGAGTTTAATACTTCTAAAATCGAGGTGTGCCATCAATTTAACTCTCCCTGGACCTCACAATTTTTTTTATTAATTTGAACCTTCGTAGTTGCTTTAGGCGCGTTCTTTAATTAATTCCATCATAGCTATGGGTGCGGTTCCCGTGACGTAGTTGTGATTTCTTTTAAAATTCCAGGTGTACATTTCATGTAACCCAAGTTCAATTCCTCAACAATGTTAAATGAAACTTGTTGCGAACCGCGGGTGCATTTCATGTAGCGTGGTTCAACGTGTGTTTTAAATAACGTTGAATCTTCCTAAAATTGTTTTAAAATAATTAAAAGCAGTTCTAAAGCTAATAATGCACAATAGGTTAAAAAATGTAGTAAATCAGATAATAGGCCAATTTTAATAGTTTAAGCGACCGTGCTCGAACCACGGAACCCGGGAATGCCTAACACCTTCTCCCGGGTTAACAGAATTCCTTATCTAGAATTTCAGGTTTCACAGACTTTTTTTGATAAAATCGAATTTTCCTCGATTTGGGATTTAGAATAAACTGGTGACTTGGGACACCCTAAATTAATCCAAGTAGCGACTCTGTAATAAATAAATAATCCCATTTCGAATAATGTCACTTTAATTGGAAAAACTCCCTTATGTACCCTCGGGTGTAAAAAAGGAGGTGTGACAGCTCTGGCGACTCTGCTGGGGATTTAAACCCAGAACTTTGGTTCAGGGTTCAAGAATTCGAGCTTAGAATAACTGTTATATTTGGCCTATTTTTATCTGATTTTTACATGTTGAGCCTAATGTGCTAAATGCTGCTTTTTACCGCTTTGATATTGTTTGGACTGTATATAAATTGCTACGAAACCCTCTTCTCTCTGAGTCTTCTAAATCATCTAGTAAGTGTACACTTCATGTAACTTCTTTTTTGTTAGAGTCATATCCCAATTTTAGAACGAGGTTCGGATAAGTTGCAAAGCCGGTGAAGCTTTTGTATTCCCGGTACGTTGCCGCTCTCGGCTCTAGTTGTCCGCTCGAGTAAGCCAGGTCTAGAACAATACACCCAAGTTTTTAAACCTAATATAACAAAGCCTCATGCCGGATCCCTAGTAGGAACGCTTGTTTGCATCACGTGCATTTGACTTTGGAGACTTAACATATGGGTTGGGTCTGTCTAGGACATGTGTACCTGAAATGAAAAGAGCATCCTGATGTATTCTACCTGCGACTTGTGCATTTATTTGCTTTGGATTGCATGTTGACCGGCTTATGAATAATGGAGAAAAGTTGGGAAAATCAATTTGAAGGCTGAGAGAAATACTTACCTGTGTTTGAAAAACCCGGTATCCAAAAGGTACCAAAACTATGCCGAACTTTTGAAAAAAAAAAGAAAATTTGTTTCAAGAAAAAATATTTGGTATGGTTTTTATTATGTCAAAACTGCCCAAACTACCCAAGTTTGATTCTCACCGGATGTGGTATACGTAGGCAACCCTCACCAGGTCCAACTCCGTTTTTGCAAAAATAACCCAAAAAGAACAAAAATTTTGTTTGTTTTGTCATAAATAAATTAGGTAATGTCGTTCTTGTCTAAATGGCCAAAACATTCCCAAAAGGACGCCGGAAGTCTGCTTTTGCAAGAATAGCCACATTCGGTTCCTTTTTCAAATATTTGCCAATTAACAACATAGCCCTAAAATCTTCTTCCTTGAGGTGCTGAAGGGTCGTATTTACAAAGGCGTTCCTTGTTTTGAAATGAATTTTTTTTGAAAACTAATAACTTTTTCTTAAGTCAAAATAAACCATGATCTTTTAACCAATCACTCTAATAAATGTGCAGGATGAGCACAATTGAAAATGAACCCTTTACAGTCCTTGAAGAAATCCCATTAGGACTCCACATGTGGTGGAATGACTTACAAAAAGTCAGCAGAGTTACTGTGGTAAAAGTTTTGGGCGGTCTTGTTGGTCTTCTGAAAATCAAACCGAGGTTGGATATGATTGAGGCTTTGATATCTTTTTGGGACCCGGCGCATAGTGTATTCCATTTTTCTAATATTGAGCTAACCCTCATGCTTGAGGAAATAGCGGGCTATGCCGGTCTTAATGGGAATCTCAGAAGTCGGTACCCAGTAGCACCAAGAACAGTGACTCCTCATAAGTTTTTGGACCTGCTGAGCATCAGTCGGGAGGTTCAAGATGGAAATCTATCTGAAGGGTTTTGCACATTCTACTTCTTGTACCAGCGTTATGGCAATCCCCATGGTTTTAAGGCACCAGATACTGGCCTAACTCATTCAGGAAACAAAGGTAAATGGGAAGCATGGCGGGGACTGGCTTTTATAGTGGCATTCTTGGGTATTTTAATTTGTCCAATAAAACATGGAAACATAGAATTGGGTCTTGTAGGAATGGCCAACGTCATGATTCAGAAAGCTAATGGCACCCTCGTTCCAATGATCTTAGCGGAGATTTACCGAGCTTTAACTATCTGCCGAGAAGGGGAAAAAATTTTCAAGGGCTGTAACATGCTCCTACAACTTTGGATACAAGAACATTTTTGTCACTGCTTGGAGTACATGAACTATGACATGACTGATTTGAATTGCATCAAAGAATATGAAAACCGAGTGGTGGGTTGTGAATTTCCAAAAGGTATAGAGGCTTGGTTTGCGCATTTGAGTTCTTTAACTTCGGACAAAATTGAGTGGACTTTCAGTTGACTCCCTGTCACTGAAGTCATTTACATGTCAGCTGAGGTGTGTTATCTTCTCTTAATGGGTCTCCAGATCATTCAGCCATACGCTCCACACAGGGTGCTGCGCTAACTAGGCAGGTTCCAAACTATCCCACATGACAAAGATCTGAGCTGACAAGTCATCGAATTGGGTCCGAAAGCGGTATTCCCAGAAGAAAAAGTTCATTAGATTTGGAATAAGTGTAGATTTCTAGAGCCAAAGACTCGGGTGAGGGATCTATCTAAAGGCGAGTTAGACCCTAATTACATGACTTAGTTTGGTAAAAGGTTTCAAGTCCCTCAGGAGCCCGAACAGCCTGCTAAAAGACCCCATGTCCAGCAATTCACTGACGATTCGCAGAAGCAATGAGATTGGTTAGCAAAAGAGGCAAGCTATAGGATCAAGATAAGCAAATTGGAGGGACAAATCAGGGATCTCAAATTTGACAATAGTGTACAAGCCGCTGCTGATGAAGGGAAAAAGAAGAAACTGGCTCAAGAAAACAAAGCCCTTCGAGCCCAGATCCAAAAAGTGAAGATAGCTACGGAGAATCAGGAAAGAAGCCAAGCAGATGAAAGGCTCATAAAAGGTCTTAGAAGGAAAGTATCTGAATGTCAGGATGAAAATCCGAGGTTAATCTAGCAAGAGCCCGAGCACAACTGACAAAGAACATAGAGGGACGGGCGGAGCTTGTATGGCAATTGAAAAGGAAATATGAGGGAATAGTCACAAATTTGAAGAAAAGGCTAACTACCCTCGAAAATGAGATGGCCAAACAAGCTAAGAACTTTAAAGCAGAAAGAGAACATTGATATGCCTTAATGTCCCAGCTAGAGAAAGATATGCAACAGCTACAGGGTCAAAACCATCATGACACCCAAGTGCTAGAAGCTAGGTCTCAGCAAATCGGGTGTTTGCTCCAAGAAAAGGGTATCATCAGGGAAAGGGTTAGAGCAATTGCTGTTACATTGTCATGAAGTGCCATGAATGTGAAGACATGACTAGAACCACCTTCTTTGCTGTGGTAATGACCTTTGTTCGCCAAATAATGAGTAACCTGGAGCGTCCTCAAGGGGATCTTGCACATAGGCCCGTGGCAAGACCGACTGACGTCCCACGTGCCCCTAGATTAGAAGCACTTATGTACTGTTGATTTTTATTTTTGAGTATGTACTTCAGTTTTTAGTTTTAAAATATGTTTCGAGTTTGTTTGTAGTTTTAAATTCCTAGAAAGAGTATGGTGGAGTCTTTTGTAATAGAGAACAGTAGAGTTTTTGTTAATGAAAAATTGGAAAATCCCAAAAATTGTTTCCCTATTTTTTGCATTTATTTCTTAAACTACGTGATGATCTGATTCACGCGGCGTCGTGATACGTAGGCAATCCTCATCGGATCCGGTCATGATTTTTGTAAATAACTCAAGTAAAAAAGGAATGTGGAAAAGAGAAAGCCAAAAAAAAGAGAAAATAAGAGTGCAAAAGAGCAAGAGAGAAGATCGGGGAGATAAACAAAAGCTGGGATGAGACATGCAATCGTTGCAAAACATGTAGAAACACATTTAACTGTATAGGTGCATCACACCCCAATGTGCAATTCCCTATGTGTTAATTGCTTCAAAC